TGGCTTCAAATATGAGCCGAAGCTGGCACTTTAGAGAAGTTTAGAGGAGCTAAACCAACATAAGTTTGTCTTTTCGTATGGAAGTGATCAGTCTTAGTCGTCATTGCTCTTGCATCCTTTACGTCCACGACAAATCCTACAATCGCAATATTTCAAAGGTTTGAATGAACCCTATGTATGAATACCTTTGTCTTCCTTGCAGTAGATGATGAGAAGTCCATTGCGGGTTAATGTGACGAGGCGTGGTTTGAGATTTGTCATTTTATCAAAGATTAGGCCCTAAATTGATCGAATCAGCAAAGAAAAGTCAAAGAACTGTCTCAAGAAGCCTGTTCTACTCGTTGCTTTGTCAGGCACAGAACGTATCCTCGAGCGGCGACATCACTGTCCTTAACACGCCATGCGCGTGCTGCGGGGAGACTGACAGTCTTTAAAGGTATTTTGGAACTAGCCCCAGAAGAATTTTGAAAAAGCTTACCTTTTTGAAGCTTTTACTAATATAGAACACCTCGCTGCGAGAAGTGCGACCTTTCAGCTGCATTTGGCAACAGTTGTTAGTAGAGGTTGGCCAGTAGGATAATTAGTAGACAGCCCACCAAACGTGCCCGAGTAGGACAGAATAGTAAGTAACACTCATGGCGATATCATCCACGTTGATGTTTTTATCAGAATTAGATGTGTTTTTACTCGCATAAAGTTGAGAAAGCTGGTAAGGGGCAAGCCTATTTCTAGTGCTCTTGAATTATTTGTAAGTAGAATTATAAATATATTAATAGAGAAACTATTCAAATCATATGCAGTATATTTTTGAGCATTGCAGAGGATCATATCTAAAGGTGAAGTTTGATGAAGGTCCTTAGTGGTGGAATAGTGGAATAAGAGCGAAAAGGGGAAGGGGACGCAAGTTGAACGCGAAAACATTTGTAATGGAAATTAAATTATATTATCTATCTATATAAAGCGGATATAAATATTAATAATATAAAGTCAAGACTTATATAAAATTTCAACAAATTATATATCAGTATATAAATATCAACTGGAAACGACTTTAAAAAAAAATTTTTTTTTCAAAAGTTTCAAGACAATAAATCCAATTACTTACTTCGAAACTCAGATGACCTGTTTTCACTCGTCATGCAGGCCCCAACATTGCTTCTATCCGTTTTTGTCTCTCATTAGCGTCTTCCATGATGCTTGTATTAAACTACAGCGGCGACGTTCTCGAGCAGATCCACTCGTTACCAGAGAATCCAGTTGGTCCATCCGCGCAACGAACAAGTCAGCACATTTGGTCGCCGGCCTTGACGTTTTGGTTCGCGAGTGTTTATTTCTAGAGTTCTTAGTGTCTATCTGTCGACTATTCTCCTCATCATATGACCGGGTCTAAGAAGTTTTGGCTTGGGAGGGTTGAATCTAACGAAGGGCTTAGAGCTCTGCATCAGCTGGTCTGTGGCTTCCTTGAGGGGCTTAAACGCGGCTTAAGTTACTTCCTCCTGTTTGGTTCTTCTTTCAGGTCGTTCGTCAGGTAGGCTTCTTGGCAAACCTCATAGTCCTCTGTTTGGATGAGATCTAGCAGCTGAATCCCCTGCATAATCCAGCTTGTTCTAAAGGTTGGACTTCATCCAGTGTCCTTAATGCGAGTGAGAATAATCTTTGTGAAATGCTTATTAAGCACGCTCAACAGGCATATTAGACTGTAATTCCGAAGATGCCCCCTATCGCCATTTTCAGGAAGGAGGATTTGGGAGACTCTCTACTGACCAGGGATTCTTCTTTCTTGAAGGTGAGTTAGGTGTGTCGCAGACATCTCGTGTAAGCGATAACCACCTCGTAAGAGGTCGGCCGAATCATGGTCCGGTCCCGGAACCGTGGCTGCCTTCATGATCTGTATTGCGGCGCGTACTTTACCCTTGGTGGTATTTCTCCAGTGGGAAAGACGGGGTTTCACACGGTTGTTGACGAGCGAAGAACGAATTGGTGTAGAATCTCTTCGTGATCGATTCCATCTTTTGTCGGGAACATGTGGAGTCCCGTCTTCGTTTAATAATGTTGTCAGCGGAACACGATAGTCGAGAAGGTCCCTGCAGTACTTCTTTAGACTTCTCCTTCCTTGTGCTGCTTCCAAAAGTTTCGTTGCCTGTACTTTCGAAGACCCTTT